TGTGATGCCTACTCAACCAGGATTCCACTCCCACGCTGTGTCAAGTCCACTTAGCTCCTACCCTATTTTCCCTGAGGTGAGTGCAGTGGCTTGATCTCAGCTCATTGCAACTTTCACCTCCCGGGTTCAAGTAATTCTCCTCCCTCAGCCTCCCAAGTAGCTGGGGTTATAGGCGTGTGCCTTGACTCCTGGCTAATTTTTGTATTTTTATTATTATTATTTATTTTATTATTATTAGTTTTTGAGACAGAGTCTTGCTCTGTCACCCAGTCTGGAGTGCAGTGACACAATCTTGGCTCACTGCAACCTCCGCCTCCCAGGTTCAAGCAATTCTCCAGCCTCAGCCTCCGGAGTATCTGGGATTACAGGCATGCGCCACCACACCCGGCTAATTTCTGTATTTTTAGTAGAGACTGGGTTTCACCACATTGGTCAGGCTGGTCTCAAACTCCCGACCTTGTGATCTGCCTGCCTTGGCCTTCCAAAGTGCTGCGATTATAGGCGTGAACCACCGCGCCTGGTCAATTTTTGTATTTTTAGTAGATACAGTGCTTCACTATGTTGGCCAGGCTGGTCTTGAACTCCTGACCTCAGTGATCCACCCACCTTGACCTCCCAAAGTGCTGGGATTACAGGTGTGAACCACCGTGCCTGGTCTAACCACCGTCTACACTGGCCCAAGCCTTATTTATTTTGTGTCCTAAAAGGCCAGACTATGAGGTCAGGAGTTCGAGACCAGCCTGGCCAACATGGTGAAACCCTGTATCTACTAAAAATACAAAAAATTAGCCGGGTGTTGTGGCACACACCTGTAATCCCAGCTACTCAGGAGGCTGAGACAGGAGAATCGCTTGAACCCAGGAGGCAGAGGTTGCAGGGAGCTGATATTGTGCCATTGCACTCCAGCCTGGGCAGCAGAGCAAGACTCTGTCTCAAAAAAAAAAAAAAGGCTAGCCTGGCTGATCAATGGGTGCAGCCAAGAGGCAGCGTGGAACCACTGGATTTGTCGTCAGGCAGCCCTGAGTTCCAGTTCTAGCTCCAGAACTTACTAACTACGTGACTTTGAGCAGGTGACTTCATCTCTAGGGACCTCTCACCTATTAACGGCAATAATAATTCCTGTCAGGGAAGATTGGCCTGAAAATTAAATAAAAGAAACACGCAAAGCACCTGGCACATAGAAGCTGCTGAGAAAACGTTAATCACACGCCCCTCAGCCTCAATTAATGAATGACTGGGAGCCAGGGACTCGGGGATCTGGTGTCTGGCTGCAATAAACGTGCAGGTGGCTGAGCAATCTACATGACCTTTGAGTCTTTTTCTTCCTTTGAGAGATGGAACTGATAATGGCCACTCTCAAGGTTTCTGTGAAAAGCAAATGAAACTACGGTTGGTGAAAGGGCTTTGTAATGGGAAAGTTTGCTAAACTTGGGGTGAGGGGTGAGGGAGCCTTTGGCTTTTCAGAGAGAAGCTAATGAGGCCACTCTGGGCCAGAGGCCCCAGCTAGTGCAGGTTGGGAAGGGCTGAAACAGGGCCTCGGTCCCAAAGGTGCCTGGTGCAGCTGTGAAGCAGAGAAGACTGAGCAATGAAGGCCAATTTATGCAATAGTCCTGCTTCCCCAAATGTTCCATTTAGCCTAAGGAGTCCTATTTTCAGTGCCCTGGGGAAGTGGCTGCTTAAAGGAGCCAATGGGGAACCATATCTTCAGATTTCATAATACCTGAAGTCCAGCACTCGGCCTGGGCCTTCCAGGCATGCTCTTGCTCCCCAATAACCAGGTCCCTACTGCCAAATACATGTCCCCTAGCTCGCTGGCCCCCCAACGAATAGGCACCTATGCTATGCACACATGAGCCCCTAGGGCAGGTCCTGAGCAAAGGCTTCAAAAGAGGCTGGAGAGGATGTGAGAACAGGATTCAGGGTGTACCCTGGATGAGGCACACAAGGCGTCTGCGGTCAGCAGAGCTTTCAAGGAGGGCAGAATGCACAACACCAGCCCAGGCCATGCGGTGATGTGAAGGGGGCATTGGCCTGACACAGTTCTTTCTGTCTCCACGAAGCACAGGAAGACAGTGGTGTCTGGAACAGGGCACTGGCTGGGCCCTTTCCTTGTGCACACGTGTATGCTAGAACATACCCTTGTACTGTGGGAAGGTTCCCGCACACACAGGTAAGCGTGGATGTACACACGTGTGCAGGTTATATGTCATAGGTCCTAACAAATGCAGTCATGTGTGAATACAGCCCCCCTTCCCTGCCCCCAGATGTCAGAAGGATCTTTCTAAGTTGCAAATCCAAGGCTCTCACTTTCCTGCTTAAAACATTTCAGGCCAGGCGCCGTGGCTCACGCCTGTAATCCCAACACTTTGGGAGGCCAAGGCGGGAGGATCACTTGAGGTCGGGAGTTTGAGACCAGCCTGACCAACATGGAGAAACCCCGTCTCTACTAAAAATACAAAGTAAGCCGGGCATGGTGGCGCATGCCTGTAATCCCAGCTACTCGGGAGGCTGAGGCAGGAGAATTGCTTGAACCTGGGAGGCAGAGATTGCGGTGAGCCAAGATTGCACCATTGCACTCCAGGCTGGGCAACAAGAGTGAAACTCCATCTCAAAAATAAATAAATAAATAAATAAATAAATAAATAAATTTCAAATTAGGAGGCCTGGCATGGTGGCTCATGCCTGTAATCCCAGCACTTTGAGATTGTTTGAAGCTGGGAGGCAGAGGTTGCAGTGAGCCAAGATCACGCCACTGCACTCCAGCCTGGGCAACAGAGCGAGATTCTGTCTAAAAAAAAAAAAAAAATTCAAATTATCTCCCTGTCACACCTGCAGGTTGAAGTAGTCTGAACTCCTTACTGAAGCAGGTAAGGCTCTTTATGGTCTGAATCTGACCTGCCTCCCAGCCTGGTCTCTGGCCCATTTCCCCTTCACCCCTTTCTGTGCTTTGAAGGTAATAGCATGACTGACAGTTTTGAGCTCTCACTGTGTACACACGCTGTTTGTGTTTTTGCTTTTTTTTTTTGTTTTTTTGTTTGTTTGTTTTTGAGATGGAGTTTCACTCTTGTCACCTAGGCTGGAGTGCAATGGCGCAATCTCAGCTCACTGCAACCTCCGCCTCCTGGGTTCAAACAGTTTTCTTGCCTCAGCCTCCCAAGTAACTGGGATTACAGGTGCCTGCCACCATGCCTGGCTGATTTTTGTATTTTTAATAGAGACGGGGTTCCACCATGTTGGCCAGGCTGGTCTTGAACTCCTGACTTCAGGTGATCCACCTGCTTCGGCCTCCCAAAGTGCTGAGATTACAGGCGTGAGTCACCATTCCAGGCCACACACTGTTTTAAATACCTGACATGTATTAATTCATTTGATCTTCCACATAATAGCAATTATTGTGATCCCTGTTTTTCAGATGACATCATGAGGCACAGAAAGGTTAAGTAACTTGTCCCAGGTCACACGGCTAGGACAATTCTATTTTCCAGGCTAAATTCCTTCACCTCATCTGGGGGTCACATCTTCTCTCTCTGGGTCTTGGAGTGTGCTTTTTCATCCACCTAGCCATCTGCCTCCCTCCTCTCCCTCCCTCCCACCCTTTCCCTGGCGAATTTATCCTTCAGGTCTCAGCTTAGTCATCATCTCCTCCAAGAAGATGTCCCCATATTCCTTGGGAGAAATTTAGGTCCCTTGGCTATGTGCTGCCCCCGCTGGTGTTTCTGCCATCATATTCCTTATCTCCTTGAATTGTAACCATTCTGATTACTCATCTGTCTTCCTACCTAGATTCTGAGCTCGTTGAAGCCAGATTTACACCTGGTTTGTTCATTCCACCTCTAAGGCTAACATAGGGCCTGGTATGAAGCAAGAACTTGATCAACATTTGTTGAGTTCAATGGATGAATTGTCCCTTGGATGTGTGCACAGATCTGTGAGTGTGTGAGATAAGTATGCATGGGTCTCCTCTGAGGGCCTGGACCCCCAGGGTCACAGTCAGGAGGAAAAGCCCCCCTCAGCACCCTGTGCTTCGATGGTTCTTAAAGATGTCCCCTGTATAGGCCAGGCACGGTGGCTCATGCCTGTAATCCCAGCACTTTGGGAGGTTGAGGGGGTGGATCACGAGGTCAGGAGATCGAGACCATCCTGGCTAATACAGTGAAATCCCATCTCTACTAAAAATACAAAAAATTAGCTGGGCGTGGTGGCGGACGCCTGTAGTTCCAGCTACTTGGGAGGCTGAGGCAGGAGAACGGCGTGAACCTGAGAGGCGGAGCTTGCAGTGAGCTGAGATCGCGCCACTGCACTCCAGCCTGGGTAACAGAGCAAGACTCTGTCTCAAAAATAAATAAATAAATAAATAAAGATGTCCTCTGTATGCAGTATGGCCCCTGCCCTTCCAGCAGCACCCTCAAACTCCTCACCCTGATAGTGGATCCTGAAGCCACCGCCCCTTGGGACCCGTGGGCTCTGGAAGTGCAGAAGCAGCCGGTTGGTTGGGCTCCGAAGGACTTGTCCTTCTCCAAGCATGGACGAGTTGGCCAGGAGTCGGGGGGCCAGGCCTGGGGATCCCCCACCAGCCAGCACCAGAAGCTCCTCCTCCTGCGACAGGTTCAGCGTCTGCACCTAGAAAAGCCAGACACAGACCTGCCAGGGCAAGTCAGCCAGGGGTTTGACTTCCAAAGCCCCTGTCCTGTGCCTTTTCCCTGTGTGTGGCAGCCCAAAAGGCACCATGCTGCTGCCCAAGTTGTAGAAATCTGGAAGAGCTTTTGAGGTAACCTGAGTCATCAAATAGGTTCTTTGGCTCCCAGGCCAAACCCGTGCACACCCACAACCCAGAGGAAAAGGCTTGGAAGGTGCACAGTCACATGCTTTGGTCCAGTTACCTGGATCTCAATGCCGTAGCCAGGATAGACATGGATGCTGTAAGTGCAGTCCAGGAGCCCCAAGGTGCGGCTGGCGGGGCTCTCCAGATCTGGAGACTCCACATACCCTTCGCCCTCGGAGATGTTGTTATTACATAGAACTGAGGAGATACAAATGGTTGGGATGGAAGGAATGCCTGTGCTCTTGCCCTCCCAGTCAAGCAACTCTGAAGGCCTTCATCTGCCTTCTCCTTAGCACCTCTCATTATTTTTTTGTTTTGTTTTGAGAGAGGGTCTCACTTTGTCACCCAGGCTGGAGTGCAGTCGCGCAATCATGGCTCACTACAGTCTGAAACTCCTGGGCTCAAGCCATCCTCCCTCCTCAGCCTTCCGAGTAGCTGGGGCCACAGGTGCGCATCACCACGCCGAACCAATTTGTAAAACTTTTTGTAGAAATGGGGTCTTGCTATGTTTCCCAGGCTGGACTCAAACTCCTGGCCTCAAGTGATCCTCCTGCCTTGGCCTCCCAAAGCACTGGGATTACAGGTGTGCGCTGCTGTGCCCCCTCACCATCTTTTTTTTTTTTGAGATGGGTTTCACTCTTGTTGCCCAGGACCTGGGGCAATGGCTGGATCTCAGCTCACCACAACTTCCACCTCCCTGGTTCAAGCAATTCTCCTGCCTCAGCCTTCCGAGTAGTTGGGATTACAGGCATGTGCCACCACACCCGGCTAATTTTGTACTTTTAGTAGAGACGGGGTTTCTCCATGTTGGTCAGGCTGGTCTCAAACTCCCGATCTCAGGTGATCCACCCACCTGGCCTCCTAAAGTGCTGGGATCACAGGCATGAGCCACTGTGCCTAGCACCATCTTTAAGCATACTCCCTCTCCCACCTGCGCCAGAACTCCCTTTCCTAACTGTTATATAGCTGAAACAATTGGAACACTGCCTGGTACTTAGTAAGGGTACAGAAATGCTACCTTTGTTATTTTTATTCTCCCATCTGTACCCAGGACTCCTTCCACAGTTCCCAGGAACCTCTTTCCCATCCATCCCCAGTGTGTACCTATCCGGTGCTCCCACCCCCATCCCCTTGCCATCGCCTCACCTGGGCTGGTCACCGTAGTGGTAACAGTTGTCGTGGTGATGATGGTGGTCGTGGTCTCCTCCTCTCCTCCCTCAGGCCCAAGGGGAGGCCCTGGGGAAGCAGGGCTGGGTGGGGGTGGGGCTGTGGTTCCTGGGGGCGGGGTCAGCAGCTCTGGCGCGGTGGGGCCTGCCCCCCTGACCCCCTTAGGGGTGACGGCTGTTGTCAGAGGCCCTGTCCCCGGCTCAGTGGCCCGTGGCAGGGAGGGCACTGTGAGAGTCTGGCCGGCCGGAGGGGTGGCTAGCGTGGGGTCCGGATCAGATCCTGGGACAGTGCAGGGAATGTCAGAGCACAGGAAGAGCACACCGAGGACCTTGGGTGGGGAGCAGGGCTAAGGGAAGCTAGGGGTTCCCCTGCCATACCCCAAAAGCCTCCCCCACAAGGTACAGTACCCCCCACCTTTCCCTTCCCCACTCCAGTCCCCACCTTCTCCCAAGGCTTCCACAGCCTGAGTCCCCCCTCTTTCTCTTCTGGTCCCTTCTCTCCACCCAGCCCCTTCCACCCTGATACTCCTCTCCCTGAGCCTCTCTCTCTGCCTCCTCACTCAGATCACGTTCTCTCTCTCGTTATCTCCTCTCTCCTCTGTCTTGCTCTCTCTGGAACTCTTTATTTCCCCATTTCCCTGTTTAGTATTCTGATTGCACTCTGATTTCATGATTCGAGATCCACTAGTTTTTGTGTTTCATTCTCTCTCTCTTTCTGTCTTCCACCATTTCTCTGACTCTGGTTCTCTGAATTTCCATCTCTCTTTCTATGTGATTGTTTTTCTGTCTGACCATCTCCTAATCATTCTGTCTCTGTCTCTCTGGTTCTGTCTGTGCCCAGGTTTGACTTCCTCCGACGATCTCGATTTGTGTCCCCTGAATCTCACAGGCCTTCCTGCAGGCTCTTTCCTCCTCTGCAGTATCTCTCTGCCTGCTGTTGTCTAGCCTGGCTCCCCATCTCCCTGAGCCCATTCCCTCCCTCTGCCTCTAGGCCACTCCTGCCACTCTGGGGGCCTCACCCGGCAGGTAGCCCATCTCTGGGCCCCTCCTCAGCAGGGCCCCATGGAGCAGTTCAGCCAGGGCCTCAGAGGCCACCGTGGGGGTCTCACTTCCAGGCTCTGGGAATATCTCCTCCTCCTTCAGGGGCAGACCTAGGAGGTGAAGTTGTGTGAGCTTCTCCACTCCCCCACATCCCTTCCTTCTCCAGAGAGATATTTTCTAGAACTCTTCTTCCCTCCTTCACCAGCTGGGCCTACAGGGGCTCAGAGGGTCCCAGGCTCGACTGAGGGCCAAGATCTGAGAAGGGGCTCCCAGCTGCCCTCATATTCCCACTCCCACACCTCTTCTCTCCCGTCCCCTCTCCCTTCTCCCCGGGCTGTGTGGGCCTTCAGTGAACATCTTAGCTCTTATGAACCCTGGACAGCGCCAGCAAGGCAGAGGGGTTGCCGGTGCTGCCTTCCCTTTCACCTCAATGGTGATCTCCCCCCAAACCTGGGGCTCTGCAGAGGGTCTGGCGGCACCTCCCAGCCCTTGTTTCCGCAGTGCCTGGCTTTCTCTCTGGGCTTCTGTCTCTGCAGTGTGGCTGTCTTTTTTCTCTCCTTCTCCTCCTCTCTCTCTCTCTCTCTCTTTCCCTCTCTCTCTCTGGTCCTCTGCAGTCTCTGCCTCCTTCCCTGGAGTCTGGTTGGGGGTCAGAGTAGGGGACTGAAAATCTGGTCTTTGAGCCCTGCCTCTGCTCATCTGTCTTTGTCCATTCATCCAAGAACATTTGTGTGTACAGCGCCTGGCATCTCTCTCAGCATCTCCATCTCCCACCCAGGTCCCTCCGTGCTTCTACCGCCTCCGCAGACATCCCCCCAACTTTCCCAGCCCTCCTTTGTGGATCTAGCTCCTGAGACACTGCTAAAAGCTTCTCTCGTTCATTTCCCTGCCTTCTCAATATTGAGGGTTAAGGGGCTTTGGGTTCAATCCAGAAAGCTCTGGCTTGCCCTTTCCCCATCAGTTGTGCCTCTCCCCTCCCCCATGTGCTCGGAAGACCCAGGATGTTAAGAGAAAGGAGGGTGGAGGACCCCGCTGGGTGCCTTCCTGGGGCCCACCCCCACACTCTCATGTCCTTACCCTGGATCCAGGGACAGCTCAGCAGAATTAGGAACAGCAGCTGGGGAGGCGGCGGGTGCTGGGCCCTGGGAGTCCCCATGGCGACTCACCCCGATCTCTCTCCTCTGTGCCTCTCTAAGTAATCTGGCTGCCACCTTTCCTCCGTCTCCGATTATCTTTCCCTTTAATTCTTTTTTTTTTTTTTTTCCTGGTAGGAGTCAGCAAAGAAAGACAATTTCTCTGCCCCTGGGGATAGAGGGGCAGAATTGGGCTAGGGGTCGCCTGGAGCCCACCCCCCTTTGCTCAGTCTCCTCTGTCCTCGTCTCCCGGCTCTGTGGTAGAGGGGGCGCGGCTCCGGCTGCAGGGGGTGGGGCCGAGAGGGCCGAAGGGGCCGGGTGGCCTGGGTTACCCTCCTGCTTAGGCGCCTGGGTCCACCGGGCTGGCTGGACCCCAAGCTAAGGGACTGGGGAGGAGAAGGCAGCTTCTGGGGGCTTAGGGTGGGGTCGAGGATCGGGGGGTTCCCCACTGGGCTCTAGCGGGGATTGTCGGGGAGGGGAAGGGGTGGGTTGGGGAACTGGGAGAGCCGAAGCTCGGGCACTGGAGCTGCGGGAGGGAGAAGCTGAGAAAGGTATCAAGCCCACGTCAGATCCTGGGGACGGGCGGAGGGAGGGGCCTGGGATTTATTTGACGGGGAGGGAGGAGGAGGAAGTGCAGATGGAGGAGGGAGGGATCATACGAGCCAGGGCCGTAATCCTCACTCCCGCGGCCCCTAGGGGAGGCAAAGGAAACTCTCTGGTCTCAGCAGTAATTAGCCCCCTCCGCCTGCCAGTCCAGCACATCTGGAATCTGAATCTCCTCTTCCCAGGGCGCCGAGAGGCTGCACAGCTTGGTTCGCGCCTGCTTGGCCCCCCATTATGCCCCCTGTTCACATCCAGACCTCCCACGGGGCTTCCCTTCGCCTTTTACAGTAGCTCGGGTGGAATGGGCTCTCCCTCCTCCGGGAGAATGGCGAGCTTCCACGATTATGAGAAGTCTCGTGAATGACGGGCCGGGGTTCGGGGAGGAGAGACAGACCCCTCCTCTTCCATTAACCGTGACCCCGGCCAGTTAACAGGCGGCCTCGGCTCTGATTTTCCCTCCGCAGCGCCTTTTCAGCACCAGTGGCGCGCGGACAGCTCCCCTCGCCCCGCCGGGGCGGGCCCGGCCCGGCGCCGCCCGCGATTGGCTGAGGCCGCTTTCGGTGTTTGCCGGGCTCGTGGGCTCCTGGGCTGGCCTAGGGCCAGCGGGAGTTACAGGCCGACCGACCGAGGGACTGGCCGCCCGACGGACTGGCCTTGGCATCCTTGCCCGCAGTCTCGGGCGCCTGCCCAGCCATTAGTCCGCGCTCGCCCCGCCCTCATGCCCCGCCCCCTCATGCCCCGCCCCACGAGACCCGCCCCTTCTTTCGCATTGCGGGACGGCTGGAGGCTGGCACCCCGGCCCCTGCGCCCCACGTGGCGCCCTTTCCGGGCTGGGGGGGTGGGGAGGCACATCCAGAGACGACTCTCCCCCTCCCCCGGCCCCCGACTGACTTGCGGCACCACTGGGAGGGTTCGGGGGTGGCTGAGCTGAGAGGGCTCCGGGAAGGAGTGACGTCAGGGTGAGTGGGAGCCAAGGAAGGAGCGAGTAGGAGAGAGGGAGCGAGAGCCAGGCAGGACCGCAGGGTCGGGGCTAGTGAGGAGGGAGGGCGAGGAGAGAGCAGTGAGGCCGGAGAGAAAGAAGCTGCCACGGAGAAAGACAGGCTGCGGGTTCCCGGGACTGCAGGTCCAGGCGGGGTAGGAACTGCTGCCCAGGGGAGCTAGAAGGAAGCGGGAGAGAGAGCGAGCGAAAAGCGGGGGTGGGGAGGAAAGGGGGAGATTGAGGCGGGAGAGAGAAGCAGAGCGAGAGAGAGAGGAGGCTGCTGGAAGGCGAAAGAAGAGGGAGAGGAGGCGACAGAGGGAGAGGAGGAAGAAGAGGTAGAAGGAGAAGAGGGGAGAGAAAGGAGAGGAGGGTTAGAGGTGCATGAAGGAGGGGAGAGGGAGCTTCAGCGTGGAGAGAGGACCGCGGAAGGAGAGAGAGAGCCCAGAGTAGAATGTGGAAGGGAAACAGTCCAGCGGGGAGCCAGGGGACAGCCATGGAAGGGACAGGTGGGGAGCTGGGGGGACAGGGGAACTGGGGTCCGGAGGACGCCCCAGGCCTCTTGGCTAGGGCCTCCCTGACCATGCTCCCGTGGCCACTACCCCTGGCCTCCTCGGCCCTCACCTTGCTCTTCGGGGCCCTCACTTCCCTGTTCCTCTGGTACTGCTACCGCCTGGGCTCCCAAGACATACAGGCCTTAGGGGCTGGGAGCCGGGCTAGGGGTGTTCGTGGTGGGCCTGTGGGATGCTCGGAGGCCGGCGGACCAAGCCGAAGGGGTCCTGGGGATCCCGGGGAAGGACCTAGAACGGAAGGCCTAGTGAGCCGGCGGCTTCGGGCCTACGCAAGGCGCTACTCCTGGGCTGGGATGGGTAGAGTGAGGCGGGCAGCTCAGGGTGGCCCAGGCCCTGGGAGAGGGCCAGGGGTCCTAGGTATTCAGCGCCCAGGCCTGCTTTTCCTACCAGACCTGCCTTCAGCCCCCTTTGTGCCGCGGGATGCCCAGCGGCACGACGTGGAGCTCCTGGAGAGCAGCTTCCCTGCCATTTTACGGGACTTCGGGGCTGTGAGCTGGGACTTCTCAGGGACTACCCCTCTGCCTCGGGGCTGGTCCCCACCTCTGGCCCCCGGGTGCTACCAGCTCCTGCTGTACCAAGCAGGCCGGTGCCAACCCAGCAACTGCCGCCGGTGCCCGGGGGCCTATCGGGCACTGAGGGGGCTTCGAAGCTTTATGAGTGCCAACACCTTCGGCAATGCCGGCTTTTCCGTTCTCCTGCCTGGGGCCCGGCTCGAGGGCCGCTGTGGGCCCACCAATGCCCGGGTCAGATGCCATCTGGGTAAGTAGCTGCCGCCTACTGACAACCTCCTTGCCTTGATGATTTTCCTCCCAGACCCTTCTCTCCGCCACAGAGCTGTCTGCTCTACAGTTCTCATTGTGCCTCTCTTCCTCCATGGCTCCCTGTTGCCACCCACAGCAGCATTTCCTGAGCCTCGGCTATCGGCACACCATATTCATAAGCTTTGCCGTAGTCATTCCCACCTGTACTGCGTTTCTTCACCTTGGCTCTCCCCCCGACCTTTTGTTCTGTTCTTCGTATTTAAAAGAAATATTTATAGCACTATCATCAGTATTACTTGCCCTAAGTAGAAGTACTCATAAAAAGCCTGGACAACATAGTGAGACTCTGTCTCTACAAATAATAAAGCAATTAGCTGGGCATGGTGGTCCGTGCCTATGGTCCTAGCTACTGGAGAGGCTGAGGTGGGAGGATCACTTGAGCTCAGGAGTTTGAGGCTGCAGTGAGCTGAGATTGTGCTACTGCACTCCAGCCTGGGTGACAAGAAAGTACTCATAAACACAAGCTGAAATTTTAAAAAGAAAGCTTTCAACAGTCTAGAACATTCTAGTTAAGTGCTCTAGTCTCTCTGATCCTGAAGCCTACACTTTTTTTTTTTTGAGATGGAGTCTTGCTCTGTCTCCAGGCTGGAGTGCAGTGGCATGATCTCCGCTCACTGCAAGCTCCACCTCCCAGGTTCACGCCATTCTCCTGCCTCAGCCTCCCGAGTAGCTGGGACTGCAGGCACCCGCCACCGCGCCGGGTTAATTTTTTGTATTTTTAGTAGACACGGGGTTTCACTGTGGTCTGGATCTCCTAACCTCGTGATCCCCCCGCCTCCACCTCCCAAAGTGCTGGGATTACAGGTGTGAGCCACCGTGCCTGGCCTTTTATTTTTTTTGAGACAAGCTCTCGCTCTGTCACCCAGGCTAGAGTGTGCAGTGGCACAAATATGGCTCACTACAACCTTGACTTCCTGAGATCAAGGGATCCTCTCACCTCAACCTCCTGAGTAGATGGGACCAGCCCCAAGGACCAGTGCCCACCACTATGCTTGGCTGATTTTTAAAAAATTTGTGTAGGCCGGGCGTGGTGGCTCACGCCTGTAATCGCAGCACTTTGGGAGGCCGAGGCAGGCGGATTACCTGAGGTTGGGAGTTTGAGACCAGCTGACCAACATGGAGAAACCCTGTCTCCACTAAAATTACAAAAAATTAGCTGGGTGTGGTGGCGCATGCCTGTAATCCCAGCTACTTGGGAGGCTAAGGCAGGAGAATCACTTGAACCCGGGAGGCAGATGTTGCAGTGAGTTGAGATCACAACATTGCACTCCAGCCTGGGCAACAAGAGTGAAACTTCATCTCAAAAAAAGGAAAAAAAAATTGTGTAAAGACAGGCTGGACCCAAACTCCTGGTCTCAAGTGATCCTCCTGTCTTGGCCTCCCAAAGTGCTGAGATTACAGGCGTGAGGCACCGCACCCCGCACTTTTTGATGTCTTAAAGACTTGAAGAAAATGGAAAGGGAAATAATTTTCTGTTATTCCATACCATGACCTTGTTTTGCCCCAAATCATCTCCTGTGCTGCCAGCTGGATGTGTCCTACACTTCAGGGCACACTGGCCTCAGGATCAGTTCCCGATCCTTCCTCTCCTCCCTCTCTCTGTGCTCTAAATCATGAAAGCCTTCTGGCCAGTCCTGACAGATGCCACACGTGCTGTTCTTTTCAACCTAGAATCCCCTTCCCCCTTACCACCTCCTGGAAAACTCCTACTCAGCCTTCAGGATTCAAGTTTTCAAGTGCCACACTTCCTCTGGGATTCCTTCCTGTTCCCCCATCATTTGACTTGGCTGCTCACTTTCCTCACCGCACTCCGCCATGTGGTCCTTGGGCCAGGATCCTCTTTAATCTTATACCTCGTGGGGAGACAGCACCTATCACACAGTAAGCTCTTGAGTCAAACTGTCAGGAAGTCCAGGAGGAAACACCAGTTTCCTCCAGGAAGCTTTCCTTTTCTTTTTTCTTTTTTTTTTGTTGAGACGGAGTCTTGCGCGGTGTCGCCGGCAGGAGTGCAGTGGCCCGGATCTCAGGACTCCACTCAAGTCCGCTCCTGGGTTTATGCCATTTCCTAACCTCAGCATCCGATACGACACTGGAGTACCGGGCGCCCGGCCACCCAGCCACACACGGGTGGTCGCTCCGGCTAGTTGTTTCTTCTTTCTGCTAATTTTTACGTAGAGACACCCACGCGGTTCACACTCGGCCAGCGACTCGTCCTCGATCTCCTGACTCGTGATCCGCCCGCTTACTCGGCTCCGCCAACGACCGTGCTGGGATTACAGGCTTGCCCCACCGCCGCCCGGCCCCAGGACTGTTCTCCTTTTTCTCTAAATCCAGAGACAGGTTCCCTGCCAGGCGCCGTGGTCATTCCCTGAAATAGCTAGCACTTTCCGGAGCGCCAACGGCAGGCGGATTGCGGCTTGAGGGCCAGAGCTTTCAAGACGCAGGTTCGCCTGTCCTAAGGACTAAAATAAAAATAAATAAATGAAAATGCAAATGAAATGAAAAATAAAATAAAATAACAATAAAATGGTCCTGGCCCAGGCACCAGTAGGCTCAGACCCTGTAATCCCCCAAGTCTGAGGTAGGCAGTATCACTTGAGCT